TTTTATATGTCTGTGTTTATAGGGGCGAATAACAGATGGCTCAGCAACTGTTGGACATTTATGCAATTACAGTGAAGAGCTACTTAAATCTACCTCAGGCGCCATAAGTGATACATTCCCTCCTCTGTTGACCCACATGCTGTTGAAGGGCAGCTGTAGACTGGAGTCACTCTGAGCCAGGCAGCAGCCAAAGTCAGTAATCACCAGACGAGGGCAACCATCTGCATGACAGCAAAAAATCAATTGAAATTTTAACAGAAACTGATGGAATCATGCGGTTTGCGCTGTTTCATGTGGTCTCTTACTGATGGAACACAAGTGTTGTAATTTATATCACCTGAGTCAAATTCCAGCAGCACGTTGTCTGATTTGAGATCTCTGTGAGCAACGCCCTGTCTGCACAGATGGTCGACCCCCTCAAGGAGCTGCAGCACCATCAGGGAGCCGTGCCTGCGGCCCGGTGTGGACACTTCCAGGTACTGTCGCAATGTGCATGGATAGCTGAGACACAGAGAGAGACAGGCTGTTAAATTTCATGTATCATCCTAACAATTGTCATGAAATCAGATCCGGTTTTAAATACTATTTATAGTCTGTATTTTCTCAGCGATAGTCATTGAATGCATTTAAATGCTGTCATTACCGGATCAGGATTCAAATCACACGCACAAGGGATTCACAGGGATTGAGCACTGAAAGTCTGCGTTACAAAAGGAGACTACTGTCATTGTAGCCATTTATGACAGTGGATCAGTTTTAAATATTAAAAGGCGTAATGGAACACGACGGAGCAGCCACAGTGAACAGCTGCAGGCAGCAGGCTGCACACCTCCAACTCCTAAGCATGATAACCAACAACTGTCACTGTGCTCTGCTATTGTGTGTAAAGAACCTTGAGCCATACGCAGCATGAAATTAGATTGCAATTGCTCATGACATGATGGGAAAAGACAATTATTGACTCACTTCTTTATTAAAACAACATAAATTTGTTTGGCTGAATTTCAAATACAAAAACCACTCTTGCTGTTGTCATCAGTAACCATGGTAACCCTTAAAAGCGTTATAATTCTCATCCTGTCTGAGACTTGATGGCAAGTCTTACTTCTTCATGACCAGGAAAAGTGTGCGATTGTTGCCAAGACCATCAGGGTTGAGCCTGGCTGGCAGCACATCTGGATACTCTTCCTGGGCACCTGGTAGCAGTGGAACGTCTGCTGTGAAAGCCCGGTACACTCTGATCACATTGGGGTGTGCTGACACTCTTTTGGGCAGGACTCCAAATTCTCTGAATGTGTTAAGAGATGAGATCACAACCATATACATCATAAACATCTTTCATACACCGTTTTCATTACTACAGAACTATTAAAGAACACAGAAAATACTTACCCATTCAGAGTAATGTGTTCTTTTTCCTGCTTTAAGGCCAGGGGGCCTGCAGGCACCAGCTCCTGTGACATTGATTTTAATATAGCCTCACTCGATGAACCTGCCTGCAAACAAATGGACCAGTCAGTACTGATATCTGCCTGTAGCTTGTTTTCCCCTCGGATAACTGATACCTAAAAATGAAATCTATGGCAATGAAATCTGTTGTAGAATACCCACCCCAAAGTTCCACATCATCTTGATAGCCATAGGGAAGTTTCTTAGTGAGCAGCATGTCAGAGATCTAGCCTTCTCTCCTTCCTCTTCGTCTTCTTTCAGCTGCACCAGGGAGCACTTCCTATCACTTTCCTTCGGAGGGGCAAACTGAGCTGCAGCCTCGTACACAGCTGCATTGGAGCCTTTTCCAATCTGGTTCCCAATAATGTAATCCTCCAGTTTATATCCAGAGGTGAACGGCTTGAGTGGGCTCTGGAATCTTTTCTTCCTGAATACAGCCTGCAGATTGGGAAAAATGTTCTTGAAGATGAGAAAGGTGGCTGCGTGCAAGTCACATACTTCATTTAGGCCAGGGGAAGTATAACAGACTCAGCCAAGGAAATAGAGAGTATCCACACACAAGCTCTTAAAACTTTTTTGGCATATTTTCTTTAATTAAATTACATGTTTTTAAAAAATTGCCCAAATACCAAGTAAGGTCAAATATTTTTTTTCAGTCCTATTTGGTTTGAGGAGCTTGAATCCAGAAATATTTCTTAACACTTAATAACAAGTTGTAGATATCATAATAAAATATTATAAAATAGTTGCAGATATGTCACATCGATCAATATGGCTCATGTGGCTGACATGTCTGTACTGCCAAATTCATCATTTCTCTTTTAGCAAGCTTAACATCATCAAGTGGCAGCGACTACAAAGGCCTCATCCTATTAGCAGTAAGAAGGAAGCAGTCAGGATTTGTGTAAAGCAGGTGGCCAATTACAATATGTCTCAACAAAATTCATAGTATAAAATAATCAATTGCCAGTGGTAGAGACAGTGATCAACACCTGTACTTAAGCAAAGTATTTACACTGCAGTGTAAAACTAGTAGATTATGAAAAAACGTATTGCATTAGAATATTAACCTAAGTAAAAGTAAACAGCAGAATATATTAGGTATTATATTAGGTATCATAACTAGACTTTTATTATTGTATTTTGATATCATTTCAACTCCTTTAAAACCACTGTTGGGTTATTTAATCTGTAACAATGCATCATATTATAAACTCATATGTTTTGTATGTAAAATGTTAATTAGCATGAAGTAACTATGGTAGTTACAGTATAAAGTACAGTATATAGTAAAGTGCAGTATAGTATAAGTATATAGTAGCCTAGCATAAAATGAGGATACTCAAGTAAAGTACAAATACCACGAAACTGTATTGAAGTACAGGGCTTATAATAATAATTCATATATGAATACCTGGATCTCCTGACATGTCGCCGCACTCTGTCTATCATCCTCAAGCTGTTGTTCGATGAGCCCCACACCGAGACCGAAAGCCAGAAACACGGCCCTGTTTCTCGGAGACCCTCCGGTGAACCTCCTCCTGAAGCCGGCGGACTGGAGCTGAGCTGCCAGACCCCTTAGAGAGGTGCGGTAGTAGCGGTACCGAGACGGCAGGAAAGCCTGAGGCTGAACGGTGCGGACCGACGGGCCTACACGAAAGCGGTCAGCTCGGAGCTTTGCTGCGACTCGGCCACCAGATTTGAGGAGACCCACCTGAAAGACCGAGCGGCCCAACTCGAGCCCGCGGCTAATGGCGTGTTTCACAGACATAATTTACCCGCAGAGGTAATTTAAGCTGTTTTTAGAGACCGATTTGTGTCGGCCACACTTGAACTATCTCTGACAGGCAAGGGCACTGTTGTATAAACAAAACAACTCATACTGAGCATGCGCGAGAATGACAGCCGACCTACATTCTCTCATGTCTGTTCTGTTTCAACGAAATTCAAATTCAAGCTTATTTGTATAGCACCATCTCTCACAGAAGCAGATCAACGTTAAAACTGAATAAAACAGTAAATAAATGTAAAAACAGAAACATCCATACATGCCTACACGCAAGTACATGTGTCATTTTTGGTGAAAGTCTAAGATTAGGAGGCAAACTGTTCCATTCTTTAGGTACATAGATACTGACCAGACTTAGAAAGTCCTCTCAAGGCACATGGAGGGGCTTTTCACCTTGAGACCTGATGATCTGCTGGGATGGTGCACTGACAGCATGTCTGATATGTGCTGAGGAGCCAGACCATGAAGTGCTTTGAGAGCCAAGAGGAGAACTTTAAACTGTATTCTGAAAACAACAGGTAACAGTGACTTAAGTTTAGAGAACTGGAGTTATGTGGTCGGATCTTTTAACTGAGTTGGCCTAACCCATTTGTGAGTCTGGTAATTGATTTTCATACCATAGCATAGAGAAGAATGTGGAACAATGTCATGGATTCCATACACTCTTTACCCAGATAGCACCCTCTCTAAAATGGTCAGCCCAAATGAAAAGTAAGCATAACTTGTAGTTAAAAAAAAAAGGAAAATTTGCATACTGGTAAAATACTTTGGTTAAAAGCAGATGTTATCAGTGTTCCCTATAGAGCTCAGGGCTGCACTTATCTTGACAGTAAACCCTCTGAGTTTAGGTTCATAGCAATGAAGCTACATTAACAGCAGAACTCACATTTTCTCTTTGAAATGTTTCCAAAAAATCAACTAGAAATGTATCTGTAAAGTTTCTATTAGCACTATAGAAGTATCATATACTGTATGTTATGCATGAACACATATTTTTGAAGAAGACTTTTGATCCAGGCTTCATGACTTCTTTAGACAAATGCCACTGATACAGTTTGTGGGAATTGCATTTTATTGGCTTCATTAATTCTTGTAAAAGGCAAGGCAAGAGATTGCTCAAAGCAGATACAGACAACCAACTCATAAGAGAAACAGATCATCTTAATATTGTCACTGTGGATGGTTTATTCATTCATTCAGTGCTCGTGGGAACAGTAGGAAACTTTCACCAGTCAATGCGCCGACCCAGTGTTTTAGTATGATGTCATTAAATCTGTGTCGAAGAATATTTTTATATTTACATTTGCATTCAATGACCAAATGTAATGTGAAAGGTGTTTGTCACCTTGAATGACCACTTTCACATAAAATAGAGTCTTTTGATTCAATGTTTAAAATAAAAAATATTGATAACAAGAGCTGGGCGATAATTCAATATTATTATTGATTTTAACCATGTTGCCCATCTCTATTATGAATGCACCTGCTACTATTACAACAACTACTACTACTGATAATAATAATAATATATTTATTTCTGTATTTCATTTCAGAGCAATACATGAATAAAAATCACAGAATTATTTGCATATTAACATATTTCCAAGAAATGACTTATGGCCCTCGCTCTAAGTTGACATTTAGTTCTATAGAAAACTCACAAAGAATGTTATAGTAATACAAAAAAATAAAAAAGAAAGCCATTGAAAATAATGTGGCAAATCAGGTTGTGAGTTTGTTTTCAAATTGAATGAATGTCGATCTCTGCAGTCTGCTCATCAGGGCTCATGGCGACTGTTTATGGAGTGTCATTGTCGATTACCCATTTGATCCACTGGACGTAGTTCCTCACTTTGGTGTAAACCCCAGGGAAGTATGGGTTTGCACAGCTGATACCCCAGGAGACAATGCCCTCGAAGTAGCCATTGCAGATGAGCGGGCCACCGGAGTCACCCTGTAGATCACAGACACAAAGACCTCAACAGGGATTGTGCAAACTTTGCTGTAAATGCGCCAGAGTTCGCCTAAAGGCTACTTTTAGTCCTGCTAGCGACACACCTCGTGGGATGGCAATGCTGGTCCACCAATTTGGTCTAGACTGACTTCTCAACATCTCAACAACTACTAGATGTGACATTTTGTACAGACATTAATGATCTTAAGAGAATTAATCCTACTGACTTTTGTGACCCCAAGACTTTTCCTGGAGTGCTACAATGTTGACATTTTTTTAAAAGTGAAATATCACAGCGACATGGGGATGGATAGCCATGAAATTTAGTACATTACAGTAAATTCATGCTCAAAGAACTGCTGTGCCAAAGTACAGCCTCAGAGAACCACTAGCATGGCTATAGACTTTTAGTGTTGTTCATCTGAAGTCCCATGACGGCTGTTTCATAGTCACTCCTAAACAAAGTTACTAAAAAAAGATATAGGGATGCACAGCAATATTAAAAGGGGCTATTAATGTTAGTATGTGCTACAGGAAATTAAATTGCTTGTCAGACACGAAACATAATTGCTTTTTCTCTCATAAAACATAACACAGAAGTATGTAATACACAGCATCTAGAGCAGTAGTAGTAGTAGTTTGCATTGTACAGGACAGCATTATGCTTATCATTATGTATTCATTGTAGCATGCAACACATGCAAAACAACATCAATCTTACTGTACCTGGCAGGAATCTTTGCCACCCAGTCGAGATCCAGCACACAGCATGTTTGACGTGATCCTGCCCCAGTAGTAATAGCTGCAGTAAGGCTGCACTCTCACGTCCACGGCACGCAGCACAGGGGAGAGGTAGAAACTGTAAATCTTTGTCACACCCCAGCCACTCACTGTGCAGACGTCATCGTAGAGCTGAGGGGTGTTTTCATCAGGCAGAACAGCTGGCTGGACGTTGGCGTTCAGCTGTGCCGGCTCGCTCAGCTGTAGCAGAAAAACCAAAGTTATGGCAGCACGTGTGTGAGATGCTGATGAGGCGATCACATCACCCCTCAACTGACAACAGGAGGGCGTGCATGTGTCAAGAGCTTCATGTACAGTATCTATTAATTCACCTTAATGAGCATGATGTCGTTGTTGAATGTCTTGTAGTTATAGTTGTGGACATATATTTTTGAGACATTGAAGATCTGTTCAAATCCTTCTGTTCTGGTCAGGCTGTGTTCACTCAACACGACCCTCATCCGGCTGCTCCTGAGGGCCAAAAGCAGACATAAGGTGAGTCAGAATTTACCCTCTAACTGCAAAATACACAAAAAATACACACATTTCACACCCTTGTTTTCATTATACAACATAGTCAATTATCATAACATCTTAACTCTTCTCGAAACATCATCAGTCTACGTTTAATGTACCTGTGTGCCCCTGTCTGATAAAACTTGTGTCAGTACTTACGGTTTCCAGCAGTGGGCAGCAGACACCACCCACTGAGGGTGCACTAACGTTCCCCCACAGTAGTGTTGGCCGTCCTCAGACTGCAAGGATGCCTGATATTTGATGGAGTAGGGCCAAACCTCCTGACCTCCGATGATCCTCACTGCATACACCTCTGTGGACGGTGAGAACAGGAAGTGAGTCAGGCTTTTGGACTTAAACTGTCTTTTTAGATGGCAATAGTTCCGGTTTACAAATCTGTTCTGTGGTGTACTAAAGAGGAAAGTAGAAAAATGAATCAACGTGTCAGTTTTAATCCTCTTTTCAACCGTTGTTCTGATTAAAGCCCCTTGCAGGATGTCATATACCTCTTAGTATCTACTAAGAGTATCTAGTATCTGAACATTTTAAAGACTGAGGAACTTACCTGATACTGAGAAAGTCAAAAGCAACAGCACAGTAGACCTTCGTAGTGAACCCATATTTTTACTTATAACCTGTAATGGAGAAATATGACATTTAACAGCTTTCATACACAGTATACAATGTGACAATTCATTTAATTGCTCATTTAATTGCTCATTTTAATTACTCAAAAGTGAATGCATTATGCAAAATTATGGTAGAGTTATATCCTCAATAGGCTATATGTACATGTGCAAGTTTATGGCCTAACTTTTTAGATTTTTTGTTTGTTATTATTTAATATTAAATTTGTTTTTGTGCATCTAATTAATGACAAAAGGTTTACAATCTTCTTGTTTTAGCAACTGAAATGTTACAGAAATGGCTACAATCCTATGATAACCATGCTATAATTCATGAGTATCAGGGCCTAGCTTAATCATCATCATCATATTATGGTGCCCTGAAAGGAGAGTTCTTTTTTTTTTTTTTTTGCCAGGATAATTTTTTTTCCCACTATATAAACAGCCCCTGAGCGGCAAGTGATTTTTTTCTGTTTTGCTGAAAAAAATAAAATAAAATATATGTGTGTATATATATATATATATATATATATATATATATATATATATATATGTATATATACATGTATACATTTTAAACGGACTGAAGGCCTTCCTGTTTCCCTCTAGGTGATTTAATTTCTCCATGCATTAAAAAGAATTTAGTGCATGTGATTTTTCTAAGTTTTCCTAAAGTTTTTAGAAAATGTTTGCTTGCCTCTCAGCGCTTGTTTTCACAGACGAATAAAAAAAAACTTTATCTTGGCAAAAAATAAAAAAATAAATAAAATTTTTAGGGCTTCCATTTTTATGTAAGCCAAGAAAGACCATACTCACAAATATCTTTTTATCCTGTTACCTATAACAGAGCTTTGTTTTCTTGAGATGATTGAGATAGAGAGATAATAGAAAGTAATTATTCTTAATATCCTGTTATCTTGAGATAATGGAGCTTATTTTTCCCAAGATAGCAGGGATAATTATTCTGTTATATTGATATAACAAAGCTCTGTTATCTGGAGATAACGGATCGCAAGAATAATTATCCCATTATCTTGAGAAAACGAAGCTTGGTTATCTCAAGGTAATGGGATATTTGAGACTATGGCCTTTCTTAGCTTCCGTACATATCATACTCTACTATGTTACTGTGATTTTATTTTGAAAATATATGTTCAACATGACTATTTTAATACGATATTAGCATAAGTTATAGGCTACTAAGTATTTTCACTATACATTTTTTTTATTTCAAACATCGTCATACCCTGGAATCTGGACAGACCCTCGTATACTGATAATTAAATGTGAAAGAAAACGGTCAGAATCACCTTCTACTTACCTGTTGAGTCCAAACACAGCAACCTTCAGATTAGGTCCAACTGGTGGGGCCAATGTTCTCCTCTTGCCTTTTATAGTGTAACTGTATCCTTATTCAATTCTTTTGTTTAAATTATCTTTTCGTCCTGTGCTTTACTGCGACGATCTCACACTGCAACAATGAAACTGACCTACTACATGACAAAGCTAAGGTGTTTTCTTGTATTGTGTCTGTTGCACCTTGGGATATGAAGGTATTTAGGATGGGAACACCTCTACACAGTCATCATCATCATCATCACCAGGTTACAGATAGAGTACACATTTACAGGCTTGTTGATGTGGTTTGAAATTTGCTTGGAAAAATGTATCATGAGTTGTTTTGCGTGTTTGTGGGCGATATAGAAATATTTTCAAAAAACAAAATAAAAAAAAAGTTATGTTGATGTCTGAATTTGATCTGCATTGTTGAACTAAACCTGAAAAATCAACAGCAGCACACATTGAGTTCTGACTTATATTTCTATACTTTTTATAACATAGAATATTGTTAATATTCACTTATTATCACTTACAAATCAACAAACCACATCCTAATTTGAAAGTTTAATTCAAAAATAAGTTGTGACAGTCAATAATGCATCTTATTGGCTACGATAAGTACATTGTCTGCATGTAACACCACACACAACATGTGCCGCATGTGTTAATAAAAATATAAATGACAGGTTAGATATTCAATAAATGTTCAATATAATAGTAATGTACTCTTCTTCTATAAAGACCACAGATTAAAACCAGGTAAGAGTTCTTATTTCTTTATTGATTTCCCTGTAATCTATAAGTATTATATACTGGCTGAGGGCATGTACAAAAACCCCAGGGGATGTAAACACATTATTACTCTCAGGTTACTCTAACTGTGCCATTTGTTCTCTCCATTACAATAGGCTATAAACTACACACAGACTATGTTTCTACTGCACTACACACCCTGGTTTGGTTATACAGACTAGTGAAGTATCTCACTGATTTAACAAACAGTTAGCCACACACACCGCATGACTATGGCTTCGACATTCAAACCAACACCTACTAATACTACCCTGGTAATAAAACTTTTTTCCTTTTAAGAACTGTAAATTCATTTACCATATTCAAGTGTCTGTTTATCTATTTTGAAGTACTTTACTAATATCAATATCAATACAAATATCAATTACTGAATGCTTTCTTGTAATTTACAAAATAAGGCGTCTAGATTCTCCATAATATGATACTAATAAATTAAGCTTCCAACAGGGTTCAGATCTGACCCCAGAACACAGAGCAAGCCAGAGGATATATATCACAATATTACCTCATGTATACTGAACTTAATTGTTACACATAGACAATGATGCATACACACACAATACTGCAGATGCCAAATGGGTAACAGAGGAGCTGATGGTTAACCTAGTATCCATTAACGCTGGTTCAATCTCTCTAGTTTTTAATGAGTCACATGTGTCATAATGCTGAATACTAAATTGTTTTTATAGCAGAGTATGACAAGAACATTAATGCTTCATCAGACTTGGCCTGTTTATCTGTCCTTTAACTGTTTATTGCTTGACTTAAATCAGAACTTTGCTTATTTAATATTGCATTGGGCTCAGCAGTGTAACTGAGACAGGGGAACCCGAGGCATTCCCATGGCAGGTGGGATATGTAATCCTTCCAGCGTGTTCTGTGTCTGCCTCCACCACTCACAGAGCTGCACGTCCGCAAGGAGGTGATGAACACATGAGGGACCAAGAGGCATCCAGATCAGCTGCTGAATCACCCCTGCTGTGTCCTCTTAAATGCAAATGAGCAGCAGCTCTGCTCAGCTTCAGGCTCACCTCTGTCTTAACCATGACAGCCTGCACGCATCATCAGCAGTTAACACCCACCTCACGGCTAACGCTGGGCCAACCCAGCACAAAGTGAATAAGATATTTCAACTTGCTTTCAGTCTGAATGGTGCAATCCACTGTACCATAGACAAAGACTCAAACCACATCATCAAAAATTACCAAAGTTTTCCTGGAGAGACTGAGCAGTGTAATATTCAGGTTGAAACCACTATGTAATTTGTACTAATTAAAGGGCAAATAAATTATAAGACTGTCGTTTAGCTAGCTAAGTTAGCTGTGTTAAGTTAAAAAGAAAGTATTATTCATCATTCATAAATATTGGAAACTTTATTTGCCAGGAGCTGAATTTTATGCTTTCCTGTACATTTTTGCATGATCAGCTAACCTGCTGTGTTCAGGTTACACTATTTTAGCAATTAATTGGAATTATTTAATCACAATCATACCGTTTCTCTGTTGCAATTGTTCTTTTCAAGAAAAAAATGTACTGACCTGTAAACACATAATTGGAATGTCCTTTGAGTATCTGAACATGTTTGTAACTGAAGACATTTTTCAAAAGAGGAACTGCAAAAGGTTTGATCAGGAAGTCGGTGCTGAGTCACTGGTGCTGTTGGAGAAGTGATGCTGGCACCGATAAGACCTCAGTGTCACCCCACTCTAGGGACTGTAAACCAAGATTATCTCAGGATCTTCACGGCTCCTCTCCAGTGAAACATTTTGTTACAGAGTCATGAATTAATCATTTTTTAAGTGAGCTGAGTTTATTCTCCTCATGTCAGTAATTAAAAACAAACAGATTACTTGCAAACCTCAAGTGCATTTAAATCATTCAGGATATGGGTCTACCCTGATCAAGCTTTTTTTTAATTATCTTTGTCAAGTCACACAGATGGAATATAATCAAATACTATTGATAAAGACATTTAAACCCATAAAGGATTTGCACCTGATGGTAACACATTTAGCATGTATGAGCAGATTATACACATAGTTTTTGATACACTATAATGTAGTTGTAAGCAGACATATTATGATTTTTATGTTCATAAATGTACTTGTCAACAATTATAACTCCTCCTATGAGGCAGCCACAACCGGTGCATAAACAGATAATGAATGATTAATCACACAGTAAAATTTAATTACACATGAAGAAAATATTTCTCAAACTAGTTTAAAAGTGTTTATAAATGCATTCCAACCTCGTCAAACGCTGCCAGCCTGACAAAAGAAAAAAATTCTCAACTCAAGGTCCCCTTACTTGATTTCTTGCTTTCAGCTACATTTCATGGGTTTCACCAGTGTATGGGGATTGGTCAATGGTCTGGAGAAGTAGTGTTCATAGATTAATATGTCATTCATAAATTCAATAAAGAAAATTAATATATAAATAAATAATTAATATTTATTAGTATCTATCATTATGTTAGTCTTACAAATGCCTTATAGATGGACTCATAGCTGTTGTCGAATACATTAATGAACATAAAAAATGTTATCACTGCTTACAGCTACATTATATTGTGTTTATTAGATGTTTATATTCCTTTTATGTATGCTACAGTAAATGGGAGGGATTGGAGGCATTGTAACTTAAAACTAAAAAGTAAAACTCTATTTCCAATGAGCTGATAAGTTGAGTGGGTGTATTAAAACAGACAGGATGGTTCTGGATTAAAGCATTGTACTTTGTGATATACAGCTGGCTTTTCATTCCAGGGCCAGACAGATGAATGTGAGAACAGGGGAGCTGGCAGCCATGTGTAATAATGATGACGGCACTTGGACTGA